CATGGCTGGACTCCCAGGTAGTCGACCGCAGTTCGAGTCCTGGACCTGGTGGCTTAAACTCACATCGGGCATATGTGCATGTGTGCCCAAGATCCCGAGAGGAGAATGGAGGAGAAGGGATTGTGGCATGGTCATCCCCCCTGGGGAGTGATTTCTCACTTTCTGTTTCTCTGTCTCACTCAGTCTCTCTGGCGCGTGCACGCGCCCTCTAGCAAAAAAACCTCTCAAAAAAAAAAAAAAATTCTGCATATTAAACATTCTTAAATGACTATGTGGTTTCAGCTCCCTGGCTGGACCCTGACTGATCTCTATAGCACGTGCTTCCTGCGTCTAGTTTCTCAGTAACGCCTGTGCAATTCATCCACAGTGTTGTATATACCCATCAGTCACTTGTGGCTTTTTATTCTGAGCCGGACTCCACTGCACAGATAAACCTCAATCTGTTTCTCCACTCCTCATGATGGACGTTTGGGTTGTTTCCAGTTTGGGGCTTATGAATAATGCTTCTATAAACATTCACGTCCAAGTGTTCGTGTGGACATATGTTTTCATTTCTCTTGAGTAACTGCCTAGGAGAGGAATGCTTGGGTCATATGGTGAGTGTACATTTAGCTTTACAAGAACATGCCCAAGAGTTTCCCAGCATGACTGTGCCATTTCCATTCCCAAGGACAACGCACACACGGCGCAGTTGCTGGTGCCTGGTACTGTCAATCTTTTACTGATTTTACACAGAACGGTTTCCTTTTCATGCCTTCAAGAGATTTTCCTCTCCGACATTGTCACTTAACAATTCGAACTCTCTTTTGACCTTGAATTGTAACATTAGTGGTGTTTCTTCCTTTCTTTTTAAAGAATTATTTATTTGGGGACCAGCAGTTTGCATAATGTCGCTGGACTCCCATGTAGTCAACTGCGGTTCGCGTCCTGGACCCGGTGACTTAAAACTCACACCAGGCGCGTGTGCATGCGTGCTCAAGATCCCCAGAGGAGAATGGAGGAGAAGGGATTGTGGTGTGGCCATCCCCCAAGGAGGTGATTTCTCGCTTCCTGTCTATCTATCTCCATATGTCTGGCGAGCGCACATGCCCTATAGCAAAAACCTCTCCAAAAAAATTATTTATTTAATTTTATTTATTCATTCATTTATTTTCATTTGACCAGAGAAAGACTGACACACAGCCGGCAGGTCTAGGACTCGAACTGTGGTCGGCCATGTGGGAGTGTCCAGCTGGTGTTTCTAGCTTGCATCAAATAGTTATAAAAATCATCAACAAGGGCTGGCGCCTTAGCAGGGTGGTTAAGTGAGGTGTGTGGGGAGTTGGATGCCGGATGGCCAACTACAGTTCAGATCCTGGCCCCAGCGGCTTGAGAAATTCACTGTGTACACATGTGTTCCAATCCCAACAGAATGGAAAACCGGTTGCAGTGTGACCACACCCCATTGGGAGGGGGTGCTTTTGTGCTCCCACCATGAATGCATGAACCCTCTAGCAATGAAAAAAAAAAAAGATTTTAAACTTTTGCAGTTCAGAAGACACTACTGGGACAGTCGAGTGGCGTGGTGGGTGAGGCAGCTGGGTCACACGTGGCTGACTGTATGGCTGGAGTCCCAGACCTGACGACGTGGAAAATATATCAGGCACGTGGGGATGCTGTCCAACATCCTGAGAGGAGACTAGAAGAAACTGTGGCATGACCATCCCCCCCAGAAGATGATTTCTCACTCACCCTCCTATACCAAAACTAAAAAAGAAAAAAGAAAAAGAAGACATTATTTTGATTTGGAAAAGACAGGGGCCAGTAGACAGCATAGTGGTTACGTCTTTGGACTCCTACCTAACATGATTTGAGTCTTGAATCCAGTGGCTTGAAACTCATGCAGGTTTGAGACCAGCAGTTAGTGTAATGGCTATGTCACTGGACTCCCATGTAGTTGACTGCGGTTCGAGCTCCGGACCCGGTGACTTAAATTCACGTCGGGTGCATGTGCGTGCGTGCCCAAGATCCCGAGAGGAGAATGGAGGAGAAGGGATTGCGGTTCGGCCATCCCCCCTGGGGGATGATTTCTCGCTTTCTGTCTCTCTGTCTCTCTTTGTCTTTCTGGCGAACACACGCATCCTATAGCAAAAACCTCTACAAAAAAAAGAAAGAAAAAAGAAATTCACGCAGGGCGCGTGTGTATGTGTGCCTAAGATCCCAGGAGGAGAATGGAGGAGGACCAATTACAGTATGGCCATCCCCCTGGGGGGGGTGATTTCTTACCTTCCTGTCACTGTCTCTCTCTCTCTCTCACTGAGCACAAGTGCCTTAAGGCAAAAACCTCTAAAAAAAAATTGAAAAGACAAGGTACAGATTGGCAGAAAATATATGCAAATTGTATATATGATAAAGTACTTGATCTGAAATATATTAAGATATTAAAATTCAATAATAAGACAAACAGACCAATTTTAAAATAGGCAAAAGACTTCAACAGACATTTCACCAAAGAAGATATACAAACTGCTAGTAAGCACATGAAAGATGATCAAAACAATTAGTCATTAGGGAAATGCAAATTAAAATCACAAGACACTGCTTCACACCCACTAGCATGGGTATTATTCAAAATGATAATGCTGACAAGTGTTGGCAGGGCAGGGAGGAACTGGAACCTTCATGGGGAGACCTGCTAGGGGAAAACGGAGGCGGGGGAAGGGGGCCTCCCCCCAGAGTGGGAGCGACAGTGGATTTTGGAAAGAACAATCACATAGACACACAAGTAGAGAAAAGTGGGGATCGGGCGGACCACACATCTCTAATGGAGAACGTCCTGGCCCCCTGTGTCTTCCCCAGGTTTATTCTTTTATAGGGCAATGGGGGGAGGGAAAAGCGGAAGGCAAAGCTAGGTGTCGTCTGTTATTAGCTGCAGCTCTGGGGCATCTTGCAGCCCTTGGTCTAAATAAGCCCTGCCTGGCCTTCTCTGGCTGAAAGTTTCCTTTCATCTTGGCTGGCTGTGCAGCATCCGCCCAAGTGGAGAGACATTTTTTTTTTTTTTAAGCTCAGATTCAGCTGCTCCTTACATCCCTACACCTTCACACAGTACTGGTGGGAATGTAAAATGGTCCAGCCAGCTCCAGAAAAGTTAAGCAGTTTCTTTTAAAAGTTGAACATTAGGGGCCAGCAGGTGGCATGGTGGTTAAGGTGGCTGGACTCCCACACAGCTGACTGTGGTTTGAGTCCTGGATCTGGCATCTTGCTTTCTCATTTTCCCTCTCTGTCACTTTTAAAAGATAAAATAATGACAATGAATAAAATGAAATAATTCTTTTAAAAAATTTTATGTATTCATTCAGTCATTTTCATTTGATCAGAGAAAGACGGGCACACAGAGAGAAGGAAAGTGAGAAAGCAAGCCACCAGGTCCGAGACTCGAACCATAGTCGGCCATGTGGGAGTGTCCAGTACCTTAACCACCA